GGGCGAAGCCCGCTTAGAGGGCTTTAGTCAGAGCCCGGTTCTGGTTCCGGTTCTAGGGATAGGACCCAACCGGGTCGGAACCGGACCGGGGCCATGTCATACCTCGTCGCGTAGGTCTTTTTCTCAGCTTTCAGCCAACGTGACCCCCGACCTGCCCGCCCCATCCGCATTCGGTCAGCGGGCCCCAGAGCTCAGCCGGGTCCCTCCATCACTGCGTCTCTCCCTCAGGCCCTCTCATAGGCGCGAGCCCACATTACAGAGGGCCCAAATATCGATTGGCCGACCCGGCCCGGGTTCCCAGACGGGCAACGGGTGGCCCCCCTCCAAAATTTCTTCAGAAATTTTCTAGTTGTTTCATTGATTGTTTGATTATCTTGCCTGACTCATAAGTTGTACTTTGTATCAAAGGTGTGTTTGATAAGGGTGTGTTTATATGTTTTATGACAGGATTAAAGAAAACATTTTTAACATTGTATAATTGCACACTGAAAAATACAAAATGCCTAAAGCGCCCTCTAACAGTGACTCATGTTAGTCTGTTATAAAGCATATTAGCCAACACTACAAGATAAGAGAAGCCCTTAAGCAGCACATTATGTTCTCATGATAGGGGTGATCATGAATGCGGTAACTGCTGTGGTGAAAAAGAGGATTTTTCTTTTTTTAGATTAACCTAAAGTGTGGTCGTGATTTTTTTATCTTTATATATATATATGGAGGGGGAAATAAGTATTTGACCCCTTGCTGATTTTGCAGGTTTGCCCACTTACAAAGAATGCAACAACCTACTATTTTAATCATATGTACATTCTAACAGTGAGAGACAGAATCCCAAAGAAAATTCCAGAAATTCACATCATATGAATTTATAAAAATTAATAACCATCTGATGAGGAAAAGCAAGTATATGACCCCCTACCAAACAGCAAGTATTCTAGCTCCTACAAGCCAGTTAGTCTTTCTTTAAGACACAGCCCCAATCCCAACCAATTATCTACATCAAATTCACCTGCCTCACCTCGTTACCTGTATAAAAGACACCTGTCAACACCCAAACAACCAGCATCCAACATCACCACCATGGGCAAGACCAAAGATCTTTCTATGGACATCAGGGAAAAGATTGTTGATCTGCACAAGGCTGGGATGGGCTACAAGAGAATCAGAAAGCAACTTGGAGAGAAAAGATCAACTGTCGGTGCAGTTATCAGGAAATGGAAGAAGCACCACACCACCGCCAACCTCCCTCGGTCTGGGCCTCCGCACAAGATCTCGCCTCGTGGGGTGTCCCTGATCATGCGAACGGTGAGGAATCATGCCAAAATCACAAGGGGGGTAACTGATGAATCAACTGAAGGCAGCTGGGACCACAGTTACAAAAGAAACGGTTGGTAACACACTACGCCGTCATGGATTGAAATCCTGCAGCGCACGCAAGGTCCCCCTGCTCAAGAAGAAACATGTCATCTCCCGCTTTGACTATTGCAACGCACTCCTGACTGGTCTCCCAGCCTGTACAGTAAAACCTTTACAAATGATCCGGAACGCGGCGGCGTGTCTGGTCTTCAATCAGCCCAAAAAATCTCACGTCACCCCTCTGTTCATTGAACTCCACTGCTTAAGGGTATGGCTCCCATCTACTTGAATCCTCTTGCAAAGGCTTATGTCACAACTTATTCACTCCGGTCATCAATGGATTGTCGTCTAGCAGTGCCTTCACCACGCTTAAGACAATCCAGACTATTTGCATGTGTCGTTCCAAGATGGTGGAACGACCTACCAAGCGCTACAAGAACAGCAGAGTCCCTGTCTGTCTACAAGAAACTCTTGAAGACCCACCTCTTCAAACAGCATCTCCTATCCTAATCCTAACCCGTACCTCTACCCCCCCACAACTCCTTCTGTAGTCCCTCTACCTCTATCTCACCACTGAATCTGATCAGTTTTTCTGCTCTATATAGCTTATTGTCATAGTGATGATAAATGTAATATTGTGTCTACTCTGTAAGTCGCTTCGGATAAAAGTGTCTGCCAAATGCATAAACATAAACATGTCCAGGCCCGCATGAAGTTTGCCATTCACCACCTGGACGACTCAGAAGAGGCCTGGAAGAAGGTGATGTGGTCAGATGAGACCGAAATAGAACTTTTTGGCCTCAACTCAACTCGTCGTGTTTGGAGGGCAAAGAACACCGTGTACAACCCAAAGAACACCATCCCCACCGTCAAGCATGGTGGTGGCAACATCATGCTTTGGGGATGCTTTTCAGCCAAGGGGACGGGAAAACTCCATCGTATTGAGGGGAGGATGGACGAGGTCATGTATCGTGGAATTCTGGACCAACATCTCCTTCCCCTCAGTGAGAGAGCTGAAGATGGGTCAAGGATGGGTGTTTCAGCACGACAACGAACCTAAGCACACTGCTAAAGCAACAAAAGAGTGGCTGAAGAAGAAGCACATCAAGGTTTTGGAGTGGCCTAGCCAGTCTCCAGACCTGAATCCAATTGAAAATCTTTGGAGGGAGCTTAAAATTCCGTTTGACATCTGTGCTGGCCAATAATGGCTTTTCTACAAAATATTAACATGCTGTTTGTCCAGGCGGTCAAATACTTGTTTGTCCTCATCAGATGGTTATCAATTTTTATAAATTCATATGTGAATTTCTGGAATTTTCTTCTGGATTCTGTCTCTCACTGTTAGAATGTACATATGATTAAAATTATAGATCGTTGCATTCTTTGTAAGTGGGCAAACCTGCAAAATCAGCAAAGGGTCAAATACTTATTCCCCCCCCACTGTATGTATATATATATATATATATATATATATATATATAGTGTAATACCATTTTAATTCGTATAGATATAGAATATTCAAAAATTCTGTAAGTTAGGATATCGTTGTCCAAGTGCTGTAATCAATAATTTTAATGAAAACTGCTCTGATATAATTTTGTGTCTATATGTATGGAAATATATGCATATACAGTATGTATACTATGTATATTGTAAGTCATTGATCAAATTTAATGTATGCAATGTCTTGGGAAGATTGTCGGCCATACTTTTGACTGAATGACTTTTGACTGAACACTGTCCCTCGCCTGCTGAAACTGAACCGCACATCCCTTTATAGCTTTTTCTCTCTAATTTCTTTAGATATTCTGACTCAATTTATTTTCCTCCTTTGTTTCTACACAGAGGCGACAGTTCTGAGTTATGACGGCAGCATGTACCTTAAAATCATCATGCCGGTCACCATGCACACGGAGGCCGAGGATGTGGCGCTGCGTTTCATGTCTCAGCGGGCGTACGGCCTGCTCATGGCCACCACCTCCAAGGAGTCAGCCGACACTCTGCGGCTGGAACTGGACGGAGGCCGCGTCAAACTTATAGTCAACCTCGGTAAGCCACTGTGGTTCATCAACAGTTTTTACTAAAGCTCCCCTTGTCTCCTCATCTTCACCCAGTAGTCTGGCTCTGTATGTCATTTTTCTGCAGTTGATAGATTTAGGTGGGAAAGTTTCTAAATTTGTCTCTAGTTTACTAATGAAAATTGGAACTTAATTGTTGACTATGAGTTTTCTGATAAATTTACTCATTGTCAAAGATTCAATTTGGGTATGGCATCAAGGCTCAAGGCATTTTTCTAAAAGAAAAAAAAAAGAGGTACAAATACAGAAACTTCTCCATGGACACAGCAAGAAATCCAAACCAACTAAAAACACAGTTGTATACCATGTTCAGGGTCTTATTGGACTCTGTTGGGAACCACCAGGAGTCATTTCTTGTTTCATACTCTTGCTCCCTGTTTTAAACTCCCTCCGCATCCCCCCCTTTGTTTCAGTTTATTTTGTACTTTGTGAAGCCCAAAAGCCCAATTCCCTGACCATGGCCTTACCTTGAGCCTTAACCCTTAAACCTATCTCGAGAAACTTCCCGGAGGCCTTGCTACTGTCTTCCTTTTCTTTGTGGTGCTGCTCTTTTTCACATCTTTTGTGTTAGCTAAGAAGCTGGTTGGTACCAGTTCTTCAATTTAATTTGGCATCAAATTGCATATAATGGCATTTCAGTGATATAGTCCAATTCAAGCCATTTATAATCCAATTCATTATTATATATTCCTTATCCAACAACATATATTATTTCAACATCTAAATGTTGAAATTAGATGTAAATGATTATGATTTACATGTAAATAATAACATGTAAATGTAATGAAATTCATTCAGAAAATGTCCTTACTATGGAAACTAACAATCTCTTGGATTGAATCCCACATCCCAAGTAATTACAAGCCAAAACATTGCCCGTTTGTCAAATAAAAAAAACACGGAGCAGCAACATTTTTGTAAAAGCAATACCAGTAGGGAGGTGGTTGGTAAAATTATTCAGCTATAGAGAACACATTGGAAGATGGATGATTTCAATGAGAGCTCTAACTGCAAGACCTAACACTGAATAACTTATTAATACTTTATTACAAGGAATATTATTGCTCTGCGGAAGATGGATGTGACCTTCCAGTTCTTAAGGTATTAAGTCTGTCCTGACCTTTTGAAAGAACACTCCCTCAGCAGTCAACCCGGAAGAGAAGGACAGAGCTGCATTTTGGTAAAGAGGAGTTTAAGCTGTCCTTGAGACAGGGAGATCATAGATAGTTTTCCTTTCTTTTCTCCTCTCTCCTTCCATGCTTCCACTATCTCTATCAATCATAAACACCTCACCTGGCTGAGACTCAGACTATGGATCTTTTCATCCCTTCAATGGCCTGTATGTCTGCGGCCCTTGGATCAAACAGTCAATGGGACCAGTATTCATCTGTAGCTGACAGAGGTTTTGCACACATTTGCACTCACTGCAAGTGGCCACAACTTATTACAGCTGGCAAAATAACCATTATCTAGGCCTCCAAAATCCCAAAGGGTTTGTCTTCTTGTCCGATGTCCCTCTTTCCACTTGGAATATAACTTTCCAGTTGAATTTCATAACAATTTTATAAAGAAGATGGTTGGTTATCCACAACAATGTGACATATCTCACAGTCATAAGGGAAGTTTTCTGTTAAAGTTTTAATCTTTGTTGAGATCAACCAATTTTGGATAATTTATAATGAGGAATTGATGTAATTTGATAGTTTAAATATTCCATTAGTAAAATGTATTGTTAATAATCCATTAAATATATTAGCATAATGCTAGTCCGCCATGCATGTCATCTGCTGGAAGTTAATATCTTAAACTTTTTTTTTTTAATCCATTGATATAATGGTATAGTTTGAAGTTGTCAAAGTATTTGACTTCAATATCCACAGACACCTCTACAACCCTGCCAATGATTGTGGCCCACGAATGCATTTTGCTTGCATTACTATCACATCTCTACAGAGTGGTGCTGGTCCCTGGCTGTTTGTGTCCACTATTCTGTAGCGGTTGACAGCTCTAGACCACAGCCCAACCACACAGCCATGTGCACATTTAGCTCATACCGCAAGATGGAAGATAATGAAATGCAACTGAAGTTTAATCTGTTCCATTTATGTTAACTTTAATCCATATGGGTGTCAAAGGGGGTTTGAGCTACTGAACCCTATTCAGTTACCTGTTCAAACAAAAGCTAAATGCTGAAATGCGTCCTTTTCGCTTGAGTTTTATAGTTGAAAAATGAACATGTCACGATTTTATGCTATCTATTATCTTTGTGACATGTTAATTTATTTATTATCTCGCCACTGTGTACTAAAAACTATAGAATAGACTTCTATTCTATTGTAAATCAGGCTTGTCGTGGTTGGGATGTGCAGATCACCCTTTCTTGACTTTTACACTGGTATTTTGCTCATAACCAAAGTGCAGTAAAAGGCAAGCAAATCTCAAACTCCACAGCAATAGACATAAACATAAAACAATGACATGTCATATGTGCTGGAGAGTTGGTATAACAGCTGCAACAAACAGGAAATTGTATGTTTTTTTACATAAAATCCTGGTGGAGCCAGAATTTTTGGCTATTTCAGCCTTGCCCAAACTTTTTTAGTTTAAATTTGAAAAAAGTACAAACTCTGTCTTAAGCCGGTGCTTAAAAAATCTAAATATTTTATCTATATTTAACTTAAGAAATAACATTCCCTCAAAGGGAAACTTAGAATTTCAGGTAAATTATTTTAATTTTGACCATTTCTCTGTAACCAAAAGTCAGGATTATTTTATGTATTAATGTACCAATAATAAATCAGCTTGGATAGTTTACTAACATGAATGGGTTGAGAGTAACTCATAAATGCATTAATATTTACTGGTAAAAAAGCAAAAAAAATGTCCCATGGCTTGCCTTCTCTTGTGCTTTGGTTCTTAAGTGGAACAATGGTGCGATGATGACATTGGAACAGGAAAAGGGTGATTCTGACTCAGAGCCTGTCCCCGGATGGTGGCCCCAGATAAATGCTTGGTTGTCTGCAGAATGTACCTTGAAGGATGTAAAATGTCTTTTTTCCCCCTCTTTTATCTTTTCTATTCCGTCTTTATTTTTGTCTCTTTCTATCCTATTTAACTATTTTTTTCTTTAATCTCACCATTTCGCTCTCTCTCCTGCCAGATTGTATCAGGATAGACTGTACCCTCAGTAAGTGGTTCTATCCATTTTTCAGACTAAAATGTATAATTTCTCATCTGACTCTGTGCTCTCGACTTTCTCCTGTTTTCATGATGACCAACATCTCTCATCATCTTTATTTTTCACTCTTTGAGTATGCATATTTTTTTATTACCTTCTTTATATTATTTAAGTCATTGTTCATATTTTGATTTCAAAATACTCAGTCGTAATATCTTTGTCAAATCATTATTATGTGACTATAATTTTCCTGTTACTGTATTTTAATTTAATGTTTTACTTCTAGAATAATCAATATTTTTCATCTTACAAAAACTTTCATTTACATACTCAGTTATGAAATTATCACATTTCCTACCCCATGATTATGCCTTATTTAATTTCTGTCAACTATTAAAAGAGAAATAAATTAATGAAATGCAGTATTCAGAGCCCAACTTGACACTGAATGTTCCCTTTGTCTATAATACAGCATTGATTCTCAGTGCCACACAACTGTGCATAGGTTTTTACTTGTTTTCTGTGTAGGACAAATGGAATGAAATTTAGTTTTGGCCCCCATAAAGTTAATTGCTTATCCACTGAGAATCCACGCCACCTGTGCCTGTTTTTTGCCGAAGGCTAATGTATTTTAGACCTCACGCTGACAGAATGATAGCAAAAATGTTATTTATGTCATAGCCACTGACAATAGAACAACTAGTCTGCAGGTAAGTGGTCTCAGCCATGCTGACAAAAAGAGAAAACCTCATGTTTGCAATGATGTTTCTGTGTCTGTGAGTGCTTCCCTCGAGTTTAATGATGTCTTTTTGAAGGAAACAAGGTGGGGGTTTGATGAGCCTCTACTAACCCCTGGAGAAGTAGCAGGCAGTAACCATTTTTGTTTTCTCTACTGCTTTCGAGCATACATGAAGTTGAGAATGAATTAACTGGTTCCAGCTTAACAATGGTATCTTTATTAATAAACACAATTCCAGTAAAAAAAAAATGGTAAAGAAAATGTTTTCTTTAGTTAATTAATGATATATACTTAGATACTTTCAATCTTATTTCAATATATCTCTTTGTATATTTCTTTGTATTCATTGACTATTTAGATAACTGTTTAATCAAACTAGTCCAAATTTTGTATTTGTGTTGTGGAGATGCTTAGATTTATTTTCTTTTAAATCTTGACAATAGAAAGTACATCTGTGGTCATACCACTATGTTCATATTTCAGCATAATTCATAACCTTAAGCCTAGATCACAAATATTACAGGATAAATGTAAACTCTCCTCCAAAATAGAGCTGTATGGAATGCTACACAATTTACAGACACAAGTACCCTGGATGGACCACTAGATGTCAGAGAAACACCAGGCATAGTTTGGTTTGCAGGAGTTGGAAAATAAAACACATTTTTCAACCCTTTTTGCAGTGCTGCTAGGCTTCGACCCGTATTTCTGTTAGCCTATATGAACTGCTGACCTCATCATTGTAAAGGAACTCTTAGGGCAGTTGACTTGTAAATGGATAAAGGTTTTTTGTAGGTTAATGCCATGAAATTCTGCAGGTTCATCTACAGTACGGTATGGAACTGTGGAACTATTCAATACTTAAACTGAACAGTTCAAGTATTGATCTGGTTGTTCAGTGTAGCTGCAATAGTATTCCAATAAGTTGTCTAAGTCAGGGCTGTGCAAAAAATATTTGATTTGAACTTTATGATATGTAGTTTTTTTAATATACTTAGACAATTGTGTAATTCATCACAGCTGCTTATTTACTATAAGGTACATACTACCCCCAAGTAAATCCAAGCGAGGGAAATCAAGAGTATATTT